ACCAAGTTCGCACGATCCAGAATGGCCTGGAATGAATCATAGTCGTACTCGTTGCCGAGTGCTGACCGCAGTCCTGCGCACGATCGCGAGAAGAACTCGGATCGCTGATTGGTAAAACTCAAATCGAAGCCTGGCGTGGTCACTATCTTCTGCCACTTAGTTGTCCAGTCTCGAGTTGGCATAGTCCCTTGAGAGCAGGTGTACACCTCGTTCATGGCTGCCTTCACGACGTTGCGAACCATGAACCGGGTGAGTCCGAACCTAACAAATTATCGGATTAGTATCAATTAATCGGAACCTAAATAAACAGCATACCGGAATAAAACAGAAATCCGAATTATAAGTCCGGATACCAAATTGAAAACGGAAATGCCGAAATAAATGGAATACTGAAAAAAAGAAAAAATTTGCAACTTTGAACTTGATAGTAATACAGAGCTGATTTGGAAGATTAAAGAAGCAATCTAATTCCTAATTCGACTTACCTGGTGAGCAGATCCGTAAAATGGTCTGCTCCATTACCAAAACTGTTACATACTTCAACGAGTATGGGCAGAACCAAAGATCAACCAATGTAGGATGAGCATATATGCAGCGGAAGTCTGATAAACGGACTGACTCACATAGATATCACTCCACAGACATACAATCGTGAGATGGTGGGGTCTGAGCCATACATGGACGATGCCCAGCCCCGTACACACATACACAGATGAAGGTGGGAGGAGAGACGAAGGAGGTGGGAGATGTAGGTAGCACCTAATGTCACCGAGATAGAAACCAGTAGGTCACCGATATGGTAATCCAAAATGTCATGGAACAAGATCAAAATGTCGAGGACAAAAAGTCACCAATGTCGGAGATACAGAGTCCTAATGTAACCGGTGTCAAATCTGTGACGCAACCGAGTATCATYCCCAACAATCTCCAAGTCTCGAATCCGGTAAGTACCACAGCCTCTTACCACCGAAGTCCAACTCTGATCTCTGTCCAACTCTGATCTCTGTCCAACTAGTACAAGTCTCCAATCTGAAGAAGAAGAAGAAGAAGAAGAAGAAGAAGAAGAAGAAGAAGAAGAAGATGGAGTCTGAAGAAAAGAAGAAGAAGAAGAAGAAGAAGAAGAAGAAGGGAGCCGAGGAGGAGAGAGAGAGAGAGAGGGGACTGGCGATGGGAGGGAGGAGAGAAACCTCCGACTCCCGATACCTCAGGCGGCTATGGCGGCCGATACGCACAGTCGCCGCTGCTGCTGCGCTAATGCTGCGCTGCGCTGCTCCTTGTGCTCCTGCGCTAAACATAGCGCCAGCGCTATTCGCGCCGTACCATACCGCACCGTTAGAGTGCCGGTGGGTCGATGCCTCGAAGTGAGGCCGGACAAGTACTAAGTACTGGTTTGAAGAAGACCGGCCTTAATGCTGCAAGGCCTTGGTTGGGGCTGAACCGTCCAGATCGACGATTCAGGTCCAACCGGAGAGCGGCAGCCTCAAAGGCGCCGGCCCAAAACGAAATGTTGTTTGGGCCTGGTCCGAAATCTGGTCCAAGTCGTGACCTTTCGGCCTGTTAATCCCCAAGGTCAGGCCTTTAGGCCCTATTGTGTCCCTCTAGCCCTAAGTCGGGTCCTACCTGTGGCGTCGAAGATGTAACAGGGGAAGAGATGAGAATGTCGTCAACCCAAATGTCGCTGATATCACTCCCAAGTAGTCCCCCCCAACGTCTCTGTCCAATGTCGAGTCTAAATCCAAAGTGTCATCAATGTCTCTCTCTCTCTCTCTCTCTCTCTCTCTCTCTCTCTCTCTCTCTCTCTCTCTCTCTCTCTCTCT